ATCTGGGAGAAGACCTGAAGAGCCTGGTGCTGGCATGTGTCTCAGCACAACCCGGGCTGCACTCGCATCTACTGCACTCACTGTGGGAGGAAGCACGGCAGCCCTGCTTCTCCACAGGGCCCGCAGGCCCGCACAGACTCACCACAACCTGCCGCGCTGCCGTTCCCTGCCCTGTATCACATACGCCAGTCACAATGGGCTTCGCCCCCAGATGCCTTACAACTTTCTGTCTGGTACCTTTTTATATCTGGCTTTCTTAACCTGGAATCCCCTTTTCGCTGACGGTTAAAATGCTATTTCAGTCCAGTTCAGATGGCACTGCCTAGGCTACTATTTCCCAGAGTGGGTGACGCCACACCCTGGGGGTGCTGGAACAACCCTGGGGAGCTGCCAAGGCAGATACCTACAGTTTATCCTGGATTGTGGGCTATAGTCCAAACGCTTTTTAACTGCCAGGGGAGCACTAATTTTTTTTTTCCCCTGAAAAGAGTGTGGTAGGGCCAAATAAGTCTGTGAACCTATGGTGACTCAAGAAACATATTCCTTCTCGCTATTTTTAGTTCTGTTTTTATGCTTCATTTTTGTTACTAGGATCAGGGTTCACTTGTCAGTTATTTACATATGTAGATGTATGTCTCCTATATAAGACACATTCTCTAAAGTCAAAGATCACATACAGCAAGTATTTATATTCATTCAGCATAATGCTTTGCTCACAATTGGCAAGAAAAAGTTGCATTAAAGAGACTAAATACAACAACTTTCCTCTAGTTCCTAAATGTTTCCTCCCCGCTCCCACTACCATGACTCGAATTCGACCTTGCAAGTCTGGCTAGACCAGAGGAGGTACACTGGTACAGATAGGAACTGATAATACAGGGACTCCAGGGCAGATGAGCCCTACAGGACCAGTGGTGTGAATGGCGAAACAGGGAGGTAGAGGGAGAGTGGGTAGGAAGGAGGGAACCGATTACAAGGAACTATATATGACCTCCTCCCTGGGGGACGGACAACAGAAAAGTGGGTGAAGGGAGACGTCGGACAGGGCAAGATATGACAAAATAACAATTTATAAACTATCAAGGGCTCATAAGGGAGGGGGAGTGGGGAGGGAGGGGAAAAATGAGGACCTAATGCGGGGGGAGGGGGGGTGTTTAAGTGGAGAGGAAATGTTTTGAGAACGATGAGGGCAATGAATGTACAAATGCGCTTTACACAATTGATGTGTGTATGGATTGTGATAAGAGTTGTATGAGCCCCTAATAAAATGATTTTTAAAAAAAGAACTTAATAAATAAAGAGACTAAATATAAATAGTATGATTACATGCTGGCACATTTTCTTCTACTATTCTTAACATATAGCGAAAATCTCAGTTAACAATGACACAAATTTGCTTTTCCTTCCATACGGCAGTCAGTTTTAGGGCATCCAGCTTTCCAATATATTGAGAATCATAGCTCCCAAAGGTAATCTGAAATTTAAGAGAAGCCAGCTCATAGATGATAGAAGGTCTATTCAGGATGAATACTTCTCCAGTGAGGTACTGTACTTGGATGGCTGAGTGGGCAACTTAAACAAGCCAGTGCCTCAGACGTCATAATGGCTATGATTCTCTGGGTTTAATTCTGTGTTGCACTATTGTAATATACTGGTTTAAGTTCAAGATTTTTTTTGGTCTGGATTCAATACTTAACAATCATACCACGCACAGCAACAGTTGGCTGAACTTTTCCAAGTACTTTTGTAATGCACAGCAAATACGGATTACCCTAAACTTCAGACCCAGACGCTTGATGCGACATAAACGAGCCTAGAGAGGAGTCCCAGAGATACAGAAGTCATCTGCAACGCGCTCTACGCTTGCTGTGACTTACACTGTCGGGGTGGCGGAGTGAAGGAGGAGGGAAAGAGTGTTCTTAACTAGGAAACAAAGTGTGGATTAGAGTACTTTAACTTAATTGTGGTGGTAGGAAAAGTTCTATCTGCCATCCAGCTGGACACCAGCACCCCAACTGCACAGGAACTACGTCTCTGTCAATAGTCACAACCCCGCAAATGCAAACTACCCTGGAGCATCACACTTAGAGATCAGAGACAGGACTGAGGTCACACACAGCACAGAACAAGAAAGCGGTCCTTGGGGTCCACACAACAGCTCATTCTTCACAGCTGAAACACGGCTCCAACGAATGTTCACTGCCATCATGAAAGTGACTGGGAAAATCACGCTCCGGGGAAGGCACAGAACTGTAGATATCTCAATCTAACCCTGCACCCCATCAAGATCCACAATACACTCCACGCCCACAAAGTAAAATTTGAGGACTAATTGTTTTGAATAGAGAGTGAATGATATTAAAACAAAATTAAATTTTCAGGAAACAATGTTGAAGGTGAAAAGAGCATTAAATAAATACACCAGACAACAAATAGTCGCAGCATTTTCTAGTTTTGCATCCTAGACACGTTATACACACGGCTAAGGAATGTCAGCAGGTGTGAAATGCAGGGTTAGAATTGTTTCCCTTAATTTAGAATTCCTCTTGGAGAGAAGCATCTACATTCAAAATATTTTTAAGCTGCCTTGCTTGCAAATCCTACCCACCCAGTTCAGCCAAACCCACTGCTACTGACTCCAACGCACATGACGCTATGGGACAGGGTAGAACTGCCCCTGTGGGTTTCTGAGACCGTGATCTTCACAGGAGAAGAAGGCCTCGCCTTTCTCCTGTGGAGTGGCTGCTGTTTCCGACAAATGACCTTGCGGTTAGCAGCCCCAGGCCTAACCCACAGCGTCACAGGAATCCTTTAGTGACCCTGCAGGGCAGAGTAAAGCCAGCTAATAATAAGGTTTTCAAGGCTGTCAATCTTTAAGGAAGCACACCACTACAACTTTCTTCTGTCGACTTTCTGGTCGGCAGCCACAAGCTTAACCCCAGTGCCGAGTCTACTCCGCCCAGAGTAACGGCTGTGTTACAAATGGCGGGGAGGTGACCCGGGCAAGCAGGGTTTATGGCACTCGTCTGGACAAAACCCATCATTATACCCTGAATTATTTATTATTGTACTATTTTGAGAAGTACTTAGAAGAATACAGCATATAGAACAAATGCTATTTCAAACTTAAAGCTCACCTTCCTCTAACACAGCTTACTTTTTGGTCACTTCCTCACTTTCTCTCTTTTAACCTCACAGACTTTTAGGACTCTACAACACACCGATACAGCCTTGGAAGAGAAAGATCGTCTGCCTTAATGAGCACAGCATATTGGTATTTCCACAGTGCTTCGCAGCGAAAGATGACTACTTCATCTATTTTTCTCAAGCTCAGCAAAGGTACTCATATTGTTTTGGTTGTTGGGATAATTTTGTTTGACAGAACATTAAAGATCTAGACAGTCCCTTTATTTTGGATTAGTACACTCGGGCCTTTAATATAGTCTAGAGTCACATCAAACACAATGGTTTAATCACTGTTCTTAAAATAACTTCGACACTTATAAGCATTTTCCCCATCATTTAGAAACAGGTGGTCTACTTATCATGTAAACCAGGTTTGGCCTGTCAACAGCATTTAAAGGACTAAACATTGTTTTTATGAAACCCAAGGCTACTGATAAATTGACCTCAAACATCATTTGTTATGTCTTCCCTAAAAAGAAGTGGCCAGATAATTAAAAGAAGACTCACTCATTTCAGATACACTGAGTTTATTATTCTAAATAATAAACTCATTGAAAAAGTCAGCGAGCCAGCTTTGGCTTTCAAAATAAAGCCTAAACGCCCTACCCTCTTTCTACCTTCCATTCCTTTCGCACTGACTGATAGGGTCTCTTTCCCTTATTCCTGCTACGCCACTGCATGATGACCATTCATTCAGTGGAGTAAAAGGGTGAGACAGTGAAGTCCTCAACTCAAAAACTTCGTGGAAAAATATTGAAAAGACAGCATCATTTTCCCACGAACCTTTTGAAGCCCCCTCATGTAAGTAAAACCTACAGATAAACATGAAAATATTTAGATACTCCAGCATCTCTTTCCACAGTGGGCTTTCTGGTAACCAATGGCAGTTGAGTTGGGGTTTTGGCCTTCATGTCACTGTTCAGTTTCTATATCTATGACCTCCTCTCCCTCAGACACTGCAGGAGGAAGAGGGGACTCTACCCCCGTAAAGAGTTAGTCTCGGAAGCCCAGAGGGGGCAGTTCTTCCCTGTCCTACAAGGGCACCCTGAATCAGAATCGACTGGATGGCCGTGAGACCCTCAGGCAAAAACCAGGCAGCGCATCAAACATCGACGCTAGCAAAGTAACAGTGAGACACAGCTGCATCTTTTACCACTAACCAAGGTTAGCTATGTGTTAGAATCACTTCAAAGGTGATTTAAATATCTTGATGCCCAGGGTTTCACTCTTATAAGAATCTGCTGGGGATGAAGCCAAGCAACATTTGTAAAGTTCTTGGATGTCGAGAACCACCACCCTCACTTTGGCTTTTACTTAGAAAACCAACCCCAACATTCTGTTTTGCATACAGGATTTCAGGACTTTTTGAGGTGAGTCCTAGACACTTACACACCTTTTAACTTGGGGAATTTATAAGTAAGGGTGTTCTAATTAACTGGCATAGGAGGCAGAAGTCTTCTGCATCTTCCTACATCTGCCAGAATGGCTTCTGTTCCCTATATAGACTACAAAATCACAGAGAAGTTTGGGGTTCCATTAAGCAGGGCTGACATTACATAGATACCTGATTCCTACTCACAACGCTCCTACAGAACAGAACAGAACTACCCGGGTGGGTTTCTGAGACGGTAACTCTTTACGGGAGTTGAAAGTCTCATCTTTCTTCTATAGAAGGGTGGTGGCTGGTGGTTTTCAAACGAGTGGCCTTGCTGTTAGCAGCCCAACGAGTAACCACTATGCCACCAAGGCTCAAATATGATTCCTTTACTTGTGATGTCAAGCTGTACTAGGTCCCCAAAGTCCCTCTCTCCTACCTCCAGCAGGTCTATCATCCTGGTCATCTGGGAGTAGATAAGGACCCTATGTCCTTGAGATTTGAGCCGAGTCAGCAGGACATCAAGGGCATACAGCTTTCCACTGTCAGTGATGAGGCTCTCCTTGCCTGGGGAGAAGAAAAGGGTGAGGGGGAAACTATTTAATCGAAGCAGCAAAATAACTGACTGCAAAGCTGTATGTATACAGCCAAAATCCCTACAACCAGGATGCTTGCCACCATGAGAACGAGAGTGCGCCACAGGAAGAAACACAAAGCACCACTAGAGCCAAGTGTCCAGTAGTGCTCTGAGAAGAAGTACCCTGGAAGAGGAGGTCCTTTCCAGTTGACGGTCCCCACCGCCATCTGCTGCTGAGACACTGGAGAGCGAGCGTCCCTGCTCTGCGTCCTCACCAGGGCATCCCCCGCACACTGTAAGACAATGTGCACATTGCCTCTGCTCTCAGTGACTTGAAAACTTTATTTTCTCTGGACTGATTCAGTCTTTAGATCGTTTCTTCTGCTAGTTCTGTGCTTCAGTGGTTGATCCCTGAAAGCACGAGAGCAGCCCCTGCCTTGTAGCCACTTCAACACCAAGTGCAATAACATACCACACCCACTTCGCTTTTCTGTTTTTAAAAATAAACCTCTACGGGATGATTCCAAGAAGGTTAGCTGGTAAATGTCACTGTTTGGAGTTATAATTCCACAAAGAAACTATGGTTTGTTTAGCTTTTCAGAAAGACTGACTTTGGGGTTCTGTAAAACCAAGCTGCTAAAAAACAAAACAAAACACCCAAGCTGCTTTCACTCACTAGCTTGTGCTTTCTCCTTCCTCTTACCTTTTTTTTTTTCTTCTTTTAAGTATTTCAGTCAGAGATCTTTAAAGAACACTTAACTCACAAACTCTCATCTCCTATCCATTCAGTATCATTCAACTCCCATCATATTTCAGGAAATAGAGTTTCCTGTTTGCAGACTGGGTCCATAAACACGCCCTGAACAATTGTTGCCATTAATAGGGGACAAGATGGGCTTAAGGGGCTGTGGATTTTGAGTACACATGGAAGGGGCTTTGGGGCACACACGGGGAGGACAGAAATATTACGCAAATAACCAAAAGAAAGAAAGAAAATCCCAATGCTTGCCCTTAGTTTCTGGGTGTGATTCATGGCTCTTCTTCAGAGTTGCAGAGGCTGACTGCTGAGAGCGACCTAAGAGTTCTCCACGGCCAGCTCGCCTCACTGTGCTCGCCACTCTTGCCAAGTGTACGATGACTGTGTAAACTGAACAGGAACGGATGTGTTGACAGCACCTAACAAATCATCAGCCACTCTGTTTTTGCTATACAGCCCTAGGTCCTGGATGTTGACTCCTCTGCACTGCGGCCTGCCCTTTCCCACCTTCGGAATGCTGCCAGGCACATCTCTCCCCCACTCCCCCTTTCCCTGATGTTGTGGCACACACACCTTTGTTCAGCTTCTTTGTTTGGTCCTGTTTAGATTATTGAAATGCTCTTCTTTTTGTTGGTCTCCTTACCAACACAATCGAATGACTGCAGCTGGGACAGAACTGACTGCTAAGCTCTCTGCCTGGCACCAGACTAGGGAGCGTGTATCAATTCCAAGTCTGGCCAGGCAGCAAGGATTTCATAACAACTTCAAGGCTTCCTTCTTTTTTTATTTTTTTTCCTTTTTTTTTTGCAGTGAGAGAGTGAGGCAGTGAGTGAGTGAGACAGTGAGAGTGAGGCAGTGAGTGAGTGAGAGAGTGAGGCAGTGAGACAGTGAGAGAGTCAAGGCTTCCTTCTTGTCCCAATTACCCTTCTCCTTTCATTGGATTCCCTGAGATAGCTTCTAAACATCCTCGGCAGAACTACCAATTAACTTTACACACAAAGTTTTCGTTTCTCCTTAAAAGCAGAGCAAGTTGGTAAAAGCCCCTGCTTTTTTCCAATCATTGAATGAAAAGGGGCAGGCTGAGCTCAACGAATTTCTTCAGTTTGCTTCCTTTTGTCTCTTCACTGAGACACTAAGGACAAACATTCAATCATACATACACCTATCTCCTGCCTGAATTCTGAAACTCTTCAATTATCTCAAAATCACGATTCGGTCATCTTTCCATTTGTCTCCCACATTCAAGATAACCACAGTGAACTGATGTTCAGCATTAGGAAGGTGTAGAGATGAAGGCAGTCATATAAGGTTGGAGCTCTGATGCTCCTTGAAGCAAGCAAGAAGTGACAGCTAGTATTGACTAGCTTTGTGAGGATGGGGGAGGTGAAAATAAACGGGCATGGCTTCTTTGGGCTGCGCTTAGCCTAGTAATTCCAGCAGGAAAAGGCTTAAGAAGAAACAACCGTCAGCAATAGCCTAAAATACTTAAGCAAATAAGCTTCTCTGAATGGCTGTGTTTTCAGAACCTGGTATTCATTACCCAATTTTTCAAGAGCTACCAAGTTGCACTGGACAAGGGCACCACCTGGTGCAAAGCGGGGCGTGGAGCCAGCGGGACACAACTCCCCAGAAATCAAGCCAGTTCTGCCAAGTCAAGTGTACCCAGTCCCACCTCGAAAGCAGTTCAAAACATGTCAAGTCATGAACAAACTTAACCGACTTTTGTGAATAGTCCACACAGTCGGGCAGTATTCATGTTTAGTTAGATGCAGGTTCTTAGTGACCACAACGTAAGGTCCAGTTCAAACATAAAACACATGCAGCCCACAGATATAAAATTAGGGAAGATGAAATCTCTCCCCTTTCCAGCAGTGATGATGGAAACTTTTGAAAGGACAGCACATTCTTGTGGCAAAACGTCAGCTCATTCAAGGTGCTAAGTCCAAGAAACTATGGACAGAGCCTCAAGGAATGTAAAAGAACCAGCACTTACTTCCCTGGGAAACACAAAATGTGAAAGTCCTGAGGAAAGAGAGATAAAACACAGGTTTCAGTGATGCTCCCCCACCCTGCCCCAGCCAGTCTCCAGAGCACAATGGGCTCGGTGAGGAGATGCTTGGTTCTCACAGTAAACAGCCAGTAAGGCTGGTGCTTTTTATCGATGCGAAAAGAACTCAGACACTTCCTGCTATTTAAACAAGGTCCATTTTTCTTTCAAAGAACAGGAAAGGCCACAAGAGATTCCCACAGCGCCAGCACTAAGTCTGCTGCTCCTGCACTGGGAACTACCCGCCAGAATGAAGACGATAGGACTGTTTAAAAAGACTGGAGACCACTTCTTGCCTGGGCTCTGAGGTCTGGATGCGGACTCTCTAGCTCCACTAGCCTCCAGTCTAGTCAGGATTACCCCTAATGCTTTCATGCACTGCTTCTTGTGTCCCAGGTCAGCTGTGTGGTCATACACATTATCACTGTCGTTTCCAGTTCAGACTACTCCCAAGGCCACTAGAGGGCTGACCCGAAGCCCCCTTAACCCTTCACAAAGTTAACAATAAATGGAAGAACTAGAGTGCAAACTCTGGAATCCAGTTTTCTTTTAAAAATAGCGAATTCTCCCTTTTGCTTGCTTATTCTACTGTATGCCAATAAGGTTAATATAGATAGCAGAGTTTGGATAACAAAAATGAACAGTGTTGCCCAAGTTTGTCAGCAGGTGCAAGCAAAGAACATAAGCCTATAAACCATTTCTGCTCTGTTTCCTCAAAGCAGTCTCACTAATGAACAGACGAAAACCCAGCTTCCTTCCAGCCCTGGGCCTTGGCCCCAGGGGGTCTGGGAATCCGCTAGCATTTTGGCACAAAACACACTGTTTTTCCTTTTATTATCAATCAGATCTCTAGTGTTTCGTGAGGGACACTGTTTACGCTACTTAAATAGGCCTGCGGTGGGTGGAGTGAGGGCATTCTCATTCATTCCACTGCCTGTGGCACAAGACAACTCTTATTTACTCGACAGGGCTAAGATCTCCATGGAGCCCCAGCCCCAATCTCTTTTTCTTCTAAACAGAGGTGTTCCTTTCGGTGAACTCAGTACAGCAGAGTTTTAAGCACAAATCTAGGAAACATTTCTCTCTCCACTCATCACAAATCACTTAAGTTATCTCACCTACTAAGAGACTGAGGAAAGAATGGAAGGGGGCAGAGAAGAAAGGGAAAATCTCGCAAGCTCTGGACTCCAAATCACCGCATGCAATGCCACACTGGCTCTTCCCTTGCCGAAGTTGGGAACATACTCCAAGGAGACAGAGCACTCACCTGGAATCCTGATGAAAGACCAGCCATTCTGAGGCCTGAGGCTCCACAGTCCTCCAACTGGCTCTGGGAAGAACTGGGAGCGTCGATTTAGCCAGTCTGCAGCCAGTTCAGGGGCCCCATTCAACAAACACTGCTTGGCCGCCAGACTCCCACCTTGCTTCAGCACGCGCTGCTCATACTCTGCACTTCGGTCATTGCAGTATGAATCCACGGGCACTGCGGTGACCTACAGTGAAAGGTACATGAGTGGCCCTTCCACATTTTGCCCACATTAAGCTCTGTGATAAGTTCAACTCAAATCAGATGCACAAAGACAATCCTAAAGCTCGTGGTTTTAACTTCCCATTACAAACAAAGTGAGCAACCCTTTAACAGCGGACAGAGTGAGCCTTCGCAAGTAAAAGGCCACCTTTTAGAACACGAACACGCAAACAAACCATAGTTCCGGAGAGCTCGTTTGCAGATAAACTGGGAAACCAAGTCAGGAATAATTCTACTGCATCTGTGTGTATGTACATACATAACTAGCAAATCATCCGATCTGCCACTCCCTTCACTATTGGATAGTACTTTTGGCAGAGCTCTGCTGGCCACACATCCGGTGTGTCCTTCTTTAATGAGACTGACAGATCCAATGGGAAGAAAGATCAGAGACATTTCTTTCTGACTATAAACATGGGGTGGGGGTGGGGGTGAACATTTGACAGAGGCCGAGGCCATGCACACATTTTCTCTCACTACGAGGTGCAGCAAGAACACTCAAATGTGAATTTTCTCCCCAGCCCACAATGCAGTAGAGGCTCCTGCCAACTGGTGGCACAGATTTCTCCTTCTCCGGCTTCTGGGTGATGTCTACTCTAGGAAGCAGCTGTGTGTGCAGATGGCTGTGAAATCGTTCGAGAGGGGGAGCCTGCTGAAGGTGACAAGGCTACCTTTTGTTAAAATTTGGAGGCTGCGATTTATCTGCCAAGCCCAGGCTGACAAAAAATGCTAAAAGCCCAATAGAATTAGTAAACTGCTCAGAGAACCTTGGAATTAGGCCATGGGATACGGACAAACCAGATATGAGGAGCAAGGGCAAGAGGTAAGAAAGCATAAAAACACCAGTGGTACAACTTTTATTTAGATAGTTCTGTTATTTCTTACAAGTTAGGCATTTAGGGAGAGTCCCTTCTATCATGACATTCACATTTCTATTTTCATGCTGGTTCTCAAGATTTTGTAGAATCACACAGTGCAATAACCTCATTGGGAGCTGATCAAAAGTACAGATTTTGATTCAGAAGACCTAAGGAAAGGCCAGTGGGTCTGTATTTTAAACAAATAATCCAAAGCCTCGAGCCATACCAGGTGAAATACTGTCTTGAGGGTGATAAACTGTCCCTGGAGTCTCTGCTAGAGACAAGCAGATAGCAAGAGAGAAACAGCATCAACTCAGCCCTAATCAGAGAAAACCCTACTAGGTGTTGCAGAGGAGGCTGAACAGGATGGGTTTGCTAAAGAGCAGTGCCATCTAGGGTCCATATGCAAAACTACATATGATTACAGGAAATGGCTCCTGGAGCTCCCAAAACTCACAGTCCTCAACAAAACCCCCCCTGATACACAGTCAGTAACAACTCATAGCTACTCTACAGGGCAGAGAATTGCCCCTTTAGGTTTCTAGGGCTGTACATCTTTACGGGAGCTGTAAAGATTTATGGCTGTAAATCTTGCAGTGCGACTGGTGGGTTCGAACTGCTGGCCTTGTAGTTAGCAAACCCAACATGTTACCCGTTATGTCACAGGGTTAAGTAATCTCATACAACCTTTATTTACCCTTTCCACCAAAGTTTATCCTCTTCCTAGTCTTCCCCACTCTTGCATAGACTGAAATACAAACAGGTGGATAAAAACTGGGGCTCTTCCTGCTATGGTTTAAAATCCTGGCAGCTGCTCTGGAGATGCTGGGCCAGGGAAGACACCCCCCACCTTGGATGTGAGTCCTGAACCTCACGTTCAATATTGGCTACTCTTCCATAGAAACGGTTAAAGAAGCAGTGGCCAGGAATTAGTGAAATGTGGTCAGTTCAGACAGCATGCTTGCTTAGATACACTGAGTAAACTTTCTTTTCTAATGAGAAACAGGCTGACCAACTTCACACTTGAAGAGAACTGCTGTGATGTATCATGATTATAAATCTTTGAAGAAAAGCATAACTTTTATTGAAATTGTTCATAGGCATAAACACTTTGGATCCACAGTCTCAATCAATAATGAAAAGCTAAGAAACTGCATGGGGAATGGGGCAGAAAGTGACACCAACAAAAATGGCCTTCTTGTGCCTCTTTGAGGCATCCTGATGGCTTAAAAGAAACAAACAAAACAAAAAGGGTTTTCCAGACACAATCTGTAACCCATTTTTCAAAGTTCCTTTTGGCCCGATTCCTTTCCAAGTCCAGGATTCAGTACTGGGAAGTTTGCAAGGCACATTGCTTGGTGAAAAAAAACTTTTAAATGTTTTGATACGCTTCTTTGGTAAAGAGCAGAATCATAGACCGCCACGGAGTAAGTGCACAAACAGTGCATTCACGAGGTCCAAAAGGGGTGAGTGAACTAGATTAGAACTTGCTTTGCAAGCTAGCGCCACCCTCAACAACTTCTACCTGTTCTGCCAACCGCAGTAGTCTTAATTGCTCAAGAGCAGGGAAAGATAAATGCATGACATAATATTCTTCTTTCCTGCAAATGGAACTACACACTCCCTTCGGGGCTCTGTGAGCTAACTCCCACTGCTCGCTTCATTAACCTGGTAAACCTTCATGGGCTGCCTCCCACGGAATTTAATTCAGCGCGTCCTTCCGGAGGACATGTGAACTCCTGCCCCAGCTCTAGGAAGCGTAACTGCTCTCTCTCCAAGCACTTTAGTTTTCTGGTAGGATGACTCCCAGGGCTTTAGTTTATTAACCCTTATAGAATGATTTCCTCAGCTACTAAGAAAATAGCTCATATAATTCCTTCCTTAGTGACACAGTTTTTCCTGAAGGTATTGGAATTTTCATAGCATATGCCAGGGAAATTAAATGCCTCAACTCTAGGCCAAGATTGAGGCTTCAAAGGTGAACACTTTCCCTCTCCCTAACCTAGGTGAAGGCAGAAATGAAGATAATGGACTCACCTCATGAAATGCTGCCTTGCTCAGTGGCTGTAGGAGAGACTGTGACATTTTAAACTCCCTTCTCCTCCTGTCTTCATAAACGTGGGGTAGCTAGCCCCATTTTCAGAGGGGGGCTGAGTAGGAAAGGTGGGTGCTAGTGCATAGTCCTCTAGCCAAATGATAAAACTTTCTCTTGCTTCCTGCCTACCATCACACATTTAATGGTTATTATAATCTTCCTCAAACTACAATGCATTGTTCTTTGGGCCAACAGCAGCACAAAGCTCGAGCTCCTCTGAAAATAATGACAAAGTGGTACGTTGGAGGGTGGGCATGTGAGTCTGTTGGGAGAGTGGTGTTGTTCCTGAGAGCTGAGTGCTGGCTGGTTACAATGAAAAATTTTTATGTTCACCAATGCAATTACAGTCTTAAGTAGCTGATTTTTTAATGGCTTTATAAAAGAAAGATATAAGACGTAAACACACCTTGACATTCCTTACTCAGAGAGATCCAGACTTATTGCATATATAGATGAGATCAAGGTCAAGGTCAAGAGAACAAAATCAAACATGCAAAGAAGCTTGAAGGCTGTCCTCTATGGAAGCACTTACTTCTAAGAAAAAGAGTGTTGGCACGCATCAAGTTAAGCTTCTAAACCAAGAACGCTTTGGAAGAACAGGACATACTTAAAAGTCCAAACACTTTGATAGCCAATATAAACCAAACACAGTTGACAGTGGCAAAGGAATCAGGTTCATATAGCACAGGATTAGCAGGAACATTCTAGGCAGTAGGAGTTAATGGGACTCATTACTTATTATCCCATTTCTATATCTTTCTTTAGATCCTCTCCCAAATTCTCTCCTTTGATAATAAGGCAAGAATGGACGCTGATGTGAATAACAATGGAAACATATAACTAAAAAAAGATTGAGAAGACTCTTCCTTTTTAAAATAGAACTGCTAGGGTACGGTTAGTGGAGAAAACAAGATAAAAACATAGGAGGGTAAGAAAGGTCAGCCTCTAAGAGCCTTCTGGCTAAGGGAAAGTTGCCCTTGATGTAAAAGGAAACCAACAAATTGGGAGGTTAGAAATTCTTTGTTTTACCCACAGTCTGACCACATCTCTATTCTGCCCCTCTCCCCCAGGTATTTCTTTATGAACGCAGGCTCTGATCAACAAGGCCAGGAGAGAGCAGGAGCTGTAAGCAAGCACCATAGTGCCAAGGGGAGGCTTTGCAGCACTGCTGTCAGCAATCCCTGGAACACATTTCAACCAGGGGTCTTGGGGAGGACCCCGGCAGCTGTTCAAAGCTGCATCTGCAAGGGAAACTACTCTTGATCGGCGAATAAGAGTAAACAGCTAAATGGGGAGAAGACACAACAGTTGCTGCCTAGGTAGGACATACCACGGGAACCAGTCTAGGCCGCGCTGCTTTGGAAAGAGTGAAACTATCAGACTCAGAAGCTTCTAGATGTTGGAGTGTCATGTTTCCTTTTCTTATTTAGAGGCTGGACGGAGGTGATAGGCCAGATCAAATCTCTCCCCCAATCTGCGGGTGGACCTCTTACGAAAAATGCACAAAAACCTCAATGCAGGTGACAAATGATTCCCTGTTCTTTTCAAAGATTCTACTGCCCCTGACTGGGCTGTTGGTGATAATCAACCTGACAGATGGCTTGTCCCAATTGTTGTTTCGAAGCCCTGACTAAACGAGAGGACCTACACAGGAGCAACGTGGTCAGGGAAAGGAACCACTCCTACGCAGCATATGACAACTCTTGAACCCACACAATCAAAGTGAGCATGAGCTGCCTTGGGAAAGACAAGACTCTGGATGGTCTGGTCTCCCTTTGTAATACATTTTTTTAAAAGACCCAGACAACACAGTTCTGTTTAAGATCCCTTGAGAATTGGTTCATTTATTCAAATAGATCTATTTGAATACTGTCTCCTCCCTCCTATGGCACTTACTCGTGGACTGGCCATACACAAAAAAGATGGCAGCTCGGTGAGCAGGCAGCAACGAAGCGAGGAGGTAGCTGATCTCCGCTGGTGGATGACCTGGTCTGAGAAGCCACTCACTGCTTGACAGTGGCTGCTGAAAACAAGAGACTACAAAACAAAAATACAAGTTAGTGCCAACAACAATTACATGTGATGAAAGTCAAGTGAGAAAAGGGCTACATATCTGACTTAAAGACCAAATCCCTTATATTTGCAAATAACATGATTTCTAATTTAAAAAATCAGGAGAACCAAGCATGTACATAATACAGTCAAAGTTATAGACATGTTTGTGTATATATATGCCAATAAACATGTTTTTATTAATGCATTTGAAGCAAGTGTCATCTCTACTTTTTTTTTTTTTGCCCGCCTTTAAGTTTATTTGCACAAATAGTACAGGCGGACACCAGCCCGTGCAAATGGCAGCCTAGGGGTCACCCCAGTCCCTCTTGTCCTCAGGTGGAGAACGCTACTTTGCGGGAGCCTGGGCACCTTTGGGAGCATGAGCTGGAATGTCAGCCTTGCTCTGCGCCTTGGGCCAGCAGAGCCTCAGACCTTTGGTAACATGTACCTGAGCCCACTCACCAAGCTGGGGGTGGGCAATGTAGATCAGCCGACTGAGTTAGTGGTTAACACCCCTCGGATCTTAGCCTTGACCTCCTTGGACTTCACAAGAACCTTAATAACCTGAGCATGAGCATCCATGGCGTTGGCATTGTTGGCCTGCATTTTCGACAGGCTCTTCTTGTGCTTCTTGGCAGAGCACGTGCTCCTCTGGAACTTGGGGTCCACCCACATAAGAGATTCATAACATTGTGGTTGGGGTTTCTTGATGCCACTTTCGGGATTGGCTGTATGTGATGTGCTTCCTGAGCTCGGTTGTGTCTGCTGCTCCTGGAGCACCAGGCACCAAATACCCTATCTTTTTTATGAAAAAGATATTGCCAATTATAAATGGGCCCAGCAAACTTTCACTGGACAAAACTGTGTGTGTGAGGGAAAATTTGCCTCAGTTATGTTTTATTACAGATGCAAACTCATGCTTTGAGTTAAAAAAGACCAGTAACATTTTATTCTTCACTTTTCTTTAACAAACGTGTATGTACCAACACAGTGCAATATAGCTTTTAGCAAGGTGACTCTTCTGCTTATATGGTGACATCAGTATAAGCAACCAGGAAGAGAACATAAAATCGTTAGTTCTACAACTTAACCAATATTTTAAAACATAAATTCTTCATACACATATATTTCTGTATCTAAAAATTTTTTTCCATAAATGTATCTTAATAGACCTCACAGCTGATGTTAAAGATTGCATTTGCAGTTCACACACAATATCTTAAATATGTAATATTCACTTTCAAAGAACTCCTCAGTGGGATCCGAACGTTTCCGTGTATGAGACACAGACCCCTTCTTCAGGGCAGTGTGAAAAGATTCTACCTCGGTGCGCTGTTTCCCTTTCATGTGCTCCCGGAGCTTACCTTTGGATCTCCATTCTTGATTACGTATCTGCTTTACTGGCTTCTCACACAGAGCAGACTGCTGCATGTATACGCAGCTTTATGGGGGAAATGACTCACAATGCAGTCTCCATATTACCAAGAAGACAAACCAGGGTCAAAACACATGCAGGACCTTCTGTAGAAGCATAAGTTAGAATTCTACACTGGACCAAAAGGCCGAGAAGCGGTAATAAGTTATAATTCTGGTACTCAAAGTTTCTAGTACCAATTTTTAAGAACTCTTGGCTCAGTGCATTACATTGTTCCACGCAGACTAGCATGCTTTTCTAGGGGTTTTCAAGGCTGCTTCCATGGGGCGATCAGCATCTTCTAAATAATGGTCATGAACAAATGGAATGCCCTTAATTGTTTTTCCAGGATAGTTGGGCTTTGTCTTCATCAACTTCTTTTGTTAAAAATTATTTTTATTTATTTAGTTTTCAAAAAATTTAAAATCATTTTACTGGGGGCTCGAATGACTTATCACAATCCATACATACACAAATAATGTCAAGCACATTTGTTGCCATCATCATTCTCTACACATTTTCGTTCTACTTGAACGCTGAGTATCAGCTCCTCATCTCACAATACAAGAGTCTTTACAGCATTACTACAATGCGGGGCCCGCGTACCTTTGATATGCCAGGCTTCTTTTTCTAGATGTTAAAACCCGTTACCCAGAAAACAATTTACATTCAGTTTTTCAGCAGTACTTATGCTCTCATTTTTTATTGGCTGGCGACTACTTTAAGTTTATCAGTGTATCTATGTTTATGCCCATTATCATCTGAACGCCGAGTATGAAGATCATTATGAAGAATACTAGGCTGGTGTAAGCCTGTTCTTCAGAAACAGAATAACTGCAAGAGTTCCATCCCCCCACAATTCTGACTGTTGAACCACAGATGAAGACACATTTTTAGCTAAATTTTTCATTTCCCCAAAGTATATTTCTGATGTCAGTGGTGGCTCCTCCTAGGCCTCCTGGGCGGGTAGAGAAAGGATGACCCAGGTCTGAGCAGGGCTGCATGCTGAAGTGGGGCACCCACTGCACTCCAGACCATTCCTCGGGCGGGGGCGGAGGCCACAGCAGTCGCTGAGAAGAGCTCTGAATGCTCAGGAGTACCCAAACAATGACCCTTAAATATTCCAGAATGGCAAAACTCATCCCAAGAGTCTGAAGGTAGAAGATGAAAGAAAAGATCATTTCCATCCATCCTAATCTGCAGTGCTGTACTCATCACTAGAAAAGGAGCACAGTACTCACTGTATATTTATGACACCTTTCTGGAAAAAGTCTGCTTAGTAACAATTCGATTTCCAGAGATGATTTCTAAACTATAACAAATTCACTTGCTGTATATGAGCAAGATTAAGACTGTATTCTCATTGGAAGTCAAGATGATTTGTAGCTTTCTAACTTTCGATTAAAAATAAATAAATAAAAACTACTAGTTTAAAGTGCTCAACACACTGCCTTAGCTTTGGAGAGACCCTTACTACTCCCAGAGCAGTTTGCCCAATAAGCACTTTCCTAGTTTTTTAATAACACTGGCTCCACAAAACCTTTTTTAGTACAGGTGGTTCTTGGAAATGTAACTTTATATAATAAATGAACTGTGAGCCATTGCTAGATCCATAAAATTTAATGTTTGAGAGAAAAGAACATAAAAGATATCTTTAAAATCCATTGTGTAGGATACTAGGGGGTGGAGATAGAGAAAAGAGTTCATTGCGCCTTTGGTTTATTTTGGCCAAAAACAAATTAGGAAAAGAGAAACAGAATGTTACACTGCGGGTGATGTGACTGGGTTATAATGCTATTCTGCTGTCCCTTTCTCAGGCTCTTCAATGGCTCAATACCCTGTAGGCACTGGCAGCTGTGTGCAACTTGCTGCCAACACCACAATGTGCACATCGTAGCGAAGTTGGCTTTTTTGTAAAGAGTCTTTTGGCACCACGGAAAGGTCTGCACTGAGAGTAAGTGGGCCAGGATGATAGGCCCCACAGCTGCACACTCCTTGCCACAAAGTAGCACAGAAAACACACCCATGTTTCTCCCACAGCAGAGGGTCCATGCTTTGTTCTCCATGTCTTATTGAACATTGAAAAGAATACTTATGTTAATATTAGGTTTTCATTATTTAGAAACTAATTTTCTGCCTCCATTCTTAAAAAACATGTCAACGGGAAGGTGCGTGGAGAAAGGGGAGCCGACTACAATGACGCACAATCCCACCCCCATCCAGGAGGGCAAACAACAATAACGTGGATGAAGGCAGAGAGTGGATGGTGTAAGATATGAAAATAATACTAATTTATAATTTATCAGGGGTCCATGAGGATGGGAGGGTCGGGGAGTGAGGGGAAAAAAGAGGAGCTGATACCAAGGGCTCAAACAAAAAGAAAATATTTTTAAAATGATGAAGTCAACATATGTACAAAGCTGCTTGAACAACTGATGTATGGATTGTGATAAGGGCTGTAAGAGCCCCAATAAAATGATTTATTTTTAAAAAATGTCAAACACAGATATAAAGGTCTCATTTCAAATGAAGGGGAATGATATTTATAGATCAAATGCTAGACTACATGAATTCTATTTAACAGATACTTTAAGTCACCTAACCAAAAGGTGAAAAATGAAATACAGAAAAAAAAAAACTGGTTTCCCTGAGCTTTCCACAGGGGCATTGGCAATTCCCACGATCTCAGGAAATGATCATACATACAGCTACTGTAGCTGAAAACTGACATATACCAGAAGAGTTTTCAAAAACTTGCTGTTTGGGAATTCTTCATCATTAGCCAGTGAACAGATAATGTTTAAAGCTTAGCCATATGCTACTTAAAAAAAACAAACCTTAATTTTAAAGATTATTCAAAATATTCTTTGTGTATTTTAAGTTGCAAAATCTGAGCATATAAAGCTTTCATCACATACCATGCCAAAGCCAAAGTAGACCATTACCATGACAACAGCTTCACTGAGCCTAAGCTAGGGGATGGAATCAATACTGGTACCCTGTTTCTGCCAACTATCATTTTATTGTGACATTTATTTGGATATATTCTACAGCGTGTTCTATCCTGAAAAAAAATTGACCAAGTGGTATATGAAACCACAGGTTCTGTTTTTTTCCTTTATTCCTCTCAAGAACAACAAAAGATTAGAGTTCATATGCATGAGACTCACACTCCTTACCTACTGCAAAATAGTCTAAGAAAGACCTCTGACCAGAGCATCATTGGGGAAAGTAGTGGGCACAAGATGGTGGTGGGTGAGAATTAAGGAATGAAAGTCCTGAGTTAGATACACATACATATTCACTCCTAAAATTCTTCAGAATAAAGCAGGTTGAAATATAATAAAATTAAGCGGCCCATAAGGACCATGTTGGCTTTTGTTAAGAACCATGTTGGCTTTTGTTACACAAGAATCATAAGATAAAGAAATTATCAGAACTCATTCTCATTTAGAGATTTTATTTTTAAAATCCTAAAATTTTAACTGAAACATCCCTAAAGTGTCAATTGCTCTGTGCCCTAAGCCTACTTAGTGTGTAACAAAGAATTCAAACTTGACATTTGTTG